CCGGTGCTGCACTCGCGCCTGCCGTGGGTGCTGCGAGACCCCGCTGTGGAGCCACCGAACCGGGGCAACCGTGAGCGGCCCCACAGAGCCCGGCCTTGCTCCGGAGGGTGAAGCTTGCTCGGGTGTAATGAGCCTAACGAGCCCATGCCCCCAGGTCGTCACGTCACCCGGGGGCAGTTTTTGGCTTTTGGTGACCCTGCTTGTAACGTCAGTGTAGGTGTGGGTGCAGGAAGGCAGCCGGGTGCGTGAGTGTACCTTTTGGAGTAGGGGGGAATCGGCAGTGGGAGGCCTGTGGACAAAGGGAGCTCCAGCTTCTTGCTTGTGGAGATGAGGCAAATTGAGCTGCTTGACGATTCGGAACCAAAATATGATGGGGAATGTCTTAGAGTTGTGGAGTGAGGTCTGGCAATGGGAGCAGGATCCTAAGAACTAGCACCTCAGGCTTGGGACCCAGTGTGCCATCTTACCAAGGGGTTTTCTCCTTCGCTCTTGACTCTCAGGTCCCACTAGAGAGGTAAAGGTGAGCATTCCTTCCCTCTAAGGTAGGATCTACAAGGCTTCGTTATCACCTCTGCACTTGGAAAGGGTAGTTTAGCTCCCTGGATGCCATAGGGCCCTCCTTGCTTGTGGTGAGACATGTAGATGTCACTTGCTTGGCAGTAAACCAGAGACATCTCTTCAGGAGCTGCCTGCTTAGGTGTCTCCAGTACTGGTGCACAAGGACTTTGGGCAAAGCATGGGTGATATCCTGAGCTTCATTTTATCTTCCTTCACTTTTCCTTGGTGGTGCTTCTCTCCTTCCTGGGGAGCACATTTAAAGAGAGAAGGTAGATGCCCTGAAGGTGCACATACGGCTCCTGGAGCTGTGGCCAGTAAAGATGGGTGTGAAGAGGGGAAGTTAACCTGGAAAACAGAGCCACAGCAAACACAGGCCATGTGGATGGTTGCAGCCTCTCTTGTATGGGGTTCTGGGATCTCTCAGACATTCTTCCCCTCCCCCTGAAATCCCCCCTGCACACTCAGACACACTGCTGATTGCCTCCCCCCTCCTTGCCATAGCAGCTCCTTAGCCACTGATGATCTGCACTGGTTTCTGTCCTATGCAGTTGCCTCACATAGTCATCACTGCCTGTTGTCCCTGTAGATGCCTCACTCTAGAAGGTACCGCTCGTCGGAGCGCAGCAGCCGAGGCAGCTATCATGAGCGCTACAGAAGTCGCAAACACAAGAGACGGCGGACACGGTCACGATCCAGCAGCAGCGAGCGTGACCGTCGGCACCGTCGGGAAGACAGTTACCATGTTCGATCCAGGAGGTGAGTCTGCAAAGATGAGGCAGGACCTTGAACCCTGTGGTGTTTCTCCAGCTCAGCCAGAGGCAGCTGTGGTCAGCCCAGCTTCTGGGTGGCCTGGGCCCTATTCTCTCCTGTGCTCTGAGCTGTAACTTCCCAGGCAGTGTTGTAATTGAATCCCCTATGCTTGCTTTCCCTCCCTAGCTATGACGACCACTCGGCAGACAGGAGGGCCTATGACCGGCGTTACTGTGACAGCTACCGGCGGAACGATTACAGCCGCGAGCGAGGGGAAGCCTACTATGAACCTGAGTACCGTCATTCCTATGAGTACCGACGCTCCCGGGACCGTGAGGGCAGCTACCGGAGCTGCAAAAGCAGCCGGCGTAAGCACAGGCGGAGGCGGCGCCGCAGCCGGTCCTTTAGTCGCTCCTCATCGGTGAGTATCCTGCTGTTCTGGGCCTCCCCTGTAACCTTTCTCTCCCAGGTGGCGAGCTGGGTAAGTAGAAAACTCACTTTCTAATGCTCTCTTGGACTCAGCTTGAGAAATGCATAGAAGGCCTTTGATGCAGACAGCAGTTCCTGTCCACCATCCTGATGCGCCTCGGCAGTGGCTGCCCTGTGCCAACTGGGCACAGGCGGCTCAGACCCTCTCTTTAGTGTTGCCTGCTCAGAGGTGGGAAGGAGGACAGGTGCGCCTTGCAAGGCTGGCGTGTCCCCCAGGGTAGTGCTGCAGTTCTCAGCAACTTTATCCCTGCAGAGCGCTGCTTTTGTTCGGTGATGCTCATTAAGAGCTGTCTAAGAACCCCAGCCAAGCAGTCTCTTGTGTGAGGTTTATGCACCAAATGTTCCGCTGACCCTGGTCCCAGAGAGCTCGGTCTGCCTGTGACAGTCAGCTCGGTCCCCGTGGTCCCTGGTTCGGGCCTCTCTTCTGTGGCAGGAAGCCCCCCATCTCTGAGGGTTAGGTCCTGCGTCAGAGCAGGATCCTTCTGGGTGGGCCCAGCTGGTGTGGGATGTTGTGCGAGGGGCTTTGCAAAGGAGTAGAGCTTGTGGACTGGTCGATTCAGGTGGAGGCAGCAACCATCACAGGCTCTTCCCAGCAGTGTCCCTGGCTTTCTCTTCTTGTCTGTTCTGCTGTTCACCTTCCACTTCTGTTAGACTCCAGCTCTGTGTGTGGAGCTCTCAGTGTTGTCTGGTCTGTTCTGGCTCTATGTTCAGGGATGGGATTGCGGGCTGGATTCAGGTCCCAAGTCTGCTGGCTGGTTGCTCCCAGGTGTGGGGATACTTAGCTGAAGAACTGGAGGCAGGAATTTTCTCTTCTCTGCATAAACCTCTTATCTGCCTCATCCCAGGCTGTCCCTGTTGGGCCTCTGCTTCTTCCTGGAAGTTAGTCCTTCCAGGATCAGCTTCTTTGGGGGAGGGGCTAGGAAGAAGTGTCACATCTTCCCCCAGGCAGTGACTCATAAATTCTCTCTGGTTTTGGATGGATCGTTGTACTGAGAGTTGCTCTGAAGTCTCTGAATTCATCTTTTTCTGAGTATTGGGGCTGGGGGAAACTATGTGGGTGGTTGTTGGAATGGGATGGGGAGTACCTGTGTGGGGCAGCCTGGCCCTTTGTGCAGGACTTCCCAGCACCTGCATTCTGCTGCCTTTCCTCAGTGGCTGCCATGGGGCTGACGTGAACCTCTCCCCGCAGCCACTGAGCACCTGGCTGCAGAGTTGTGCCTCAGCGTGCTCTCTTGGCATTATCCAGGACCCGAAGGCCAGTGCTGTTTCTCTCCGAGCCCCGCTAAGAGCGAGAGCAGCTGGCCCCTTCCACTGCCCCTCTGCTAGCCCTTGTTCTGACCATCTCTGCTCTCACACTGGTTCGGGTGGGGCTGTTTGTAGGTTCTTTTTTTCTTTTTTCTTTTTTTTTTTTTTTTTTTTTTTTGCTACAACGAAAAGCAAACTGTTTTTTTCTTTTCTGAGCTAGTGTGTTGTATCTTGACATGTTCCCTTGCAATATCCCTATCGTTATATATTCCTCTGTGCCGTATGAATTGGCTGGGAATCTCCTCCTGCAACCCCTCCTCAAACAACCATGTGAATTTCCAAACCAACCAATGCGTGACGCTGGCTGCTGCGCTGGTTTGAAAATCTGATTGGTGAATGATGAATTCCCTGTCTGCCTGGGCCAGCAGCGGAGTCGACAGAGCAGCAGAAGGGCCAAGAGTGTGGAGGACGACGACGAGGGGCATCTGATCTATCGCGTCGGCGACTGGCTACAAGAAAGATGTACAGCCAAATCGTAACATAATTTAGCTCTCTAGTTAAGCTCCCATCGCAGTCGCAGATCTGTCTTATCTTTCTGTTTCATTTTATTTTCATTGTTTATTAAAGAGAAACCCTCTCCTTTTCCTTCCCCTTTTGTTAAAGCTACGTTTATATTTTGTATTGTTACTGAAGTGCCAGGGAACTAGGGCAGTTGCCTTGTGCAGCCGGTGTCAGCCTTCCGCTGCTCCGGTCTCTCAAGCTGTGTGCAGGTTAGGTGTTGCAATGCATTCTCCTCTGCCTTGTGTATGCGCTTCATCCAGGTCATGCTCACTCTCTCATCTGCCTTCCTCTCTTTCTCTCCCTCCCAGATGAGATTATTAGCACCTTAGGGGAAGGCACGTTCGGCAGAGTGGTGCAGTGCATCGATCACCGGAGGTACGTCTGCTCCTGGGACAGGGAGGGACACGGTGGTGAGGGAAAAAGAGACCACAGCTGGCAGCGGAGCCTTTTGTGCTTAACATGGGAGCCCTGGGGGTTGTTGAGTCTGTTTCCGGTCCGGGCACTCTCCCTCTTGAGTCGCCTGTGTGTTGGAGAGGGGTCAGGGAGAGCTCCAGGGTCACTTGTAGGGAGGAAAGAAGCACTGCTTTGGTGGACACCCCTTAACAGCCACCTTCTGGCTTGAGCAAGGGTGGTGGAAGGCTGTGCTGCACAGCATCAGGCTGGTTCAGAAAGCCCTTTTTGCAGGGCACAGGCTCTCTGTCCCAGCTCAGGGGTGATCTTGTACTTTCTTCCTGTTTCTCCCCCAGGGGTGGTGCACGTGTTGCTCTCAAAATCATTAAAAATGTAGAGAAATACAAAGAGGCTGCTCGACTGGAAATTAATGTGCTGGAGAAAATCAACGAGAAGGACCCTGAGAACACAAAGTGAGTGTGCTCTTGCTGTTAAAGTGGAGGGGAAAGCATCGCCTTAGCACACTTGCAGGGATGGGATGAGAGACGTTCTTGTTGGTGTGTGACTGAATTTGTTTGTAGCTAGTTTTTGGAGGCATATTGGCTTGCTATGGGATACAGACTGAGCAAAGAAAGGAGGAGTCTGGTACAGGGATAACATAACCGAGTGGTGTGTGCAGATCTGTCCCGAATCAGAATTTTTCTCTCAGTCTTTGTGTCAGGATGTTTGACTGGTTTGACTACCATGGCCACATGTGCATCTCCTTCGAACTGCTGGGGCTCAGCACCTTTGATTTCCTGAAGGACAACAACTACCTGCCTTACCCCATCCACCAAGTACGGCACATGGCCTACCAGGTGTGCCAGGCTGTGAAATGTAAGTGTTCACTGCTCTTCTCTCTGCTGGTCCTTGACTGACCTGGAGAGCTGGGGCAGCTCCCAACGTCCGTGCACTTCTGCAACTGGTGGCCCCAAGCAGCGAGTTTTTGCTGCGGTGCTGCTGTGTCAGTTCTGAGACTGAGCTTTTCTGCCTCTCCAGCAGTGAATGAGTGCTTGGAATGAATCTTTTTTATTTTCCTGATTGTAATGTTTTCCGATGCATCAGGGCTGGCGGTAGCTCAGGCCACTTCAGCATCCACCACCCTACACATTCTAATGATTGATAAAATAAATCTTTGTGCTTCTGATGAAGCATCTTGGCCTGGACTAACCTGACTGTTCACACCTGGTTCTAAATGTGGGCTAAACTGGTACCAGTATGACTAAACTGAATTAATGATGTTTGCTCTTCGGGTGGGTGCAACCTCGCTTTGCTTCTGTTCCATCACCCCAACTTCTGTTTGATTCCTCAGTTCTGCATGACAACAAACTCACTCACACTGACCTTAAGCCGGAGAACATCCTCTTCGTGAACTCTGACTATGAACTCTCCTATAACCTGGAAAAGGTAACAGTGCTGCCATGTGTTAGAGGTCTTCTCTTGGGTTCTTGGTATCCCTGACCTTATCAGCAGGTGGGGGGAGTCTGCACATGGCCACAGGAGACACGGGGTTGACCGACTACGTTCATACACTTGTTCAGGGCCGATATCTTGCATGAACTGCCTGTGTAGTCTATAAATAAGCCACAGGGACCACAGGCTTACCTGGCTGATGGTGAGAGTTTGGGGGCTGTGCCAGCACTGATGTACCCTCTGAAGCCCTCCTGTCCCATGGCGCCCTGTGGTGAAGCCTCAGCTGTGTAAGGAAGGGACTAAGTCCGCATCTCGAAACTCCTGAGTAACTGATACCATTCTCCCTCACGAAGAAGCGGGATGAGCGGAGCGTGAAGAGCACAGCCATCAGAGTGGTGGACTTTGGCAGTGCCACGTTTGATCATGAGCATCACAGCACGATTGTCTCTACCAGGCATTACCGGGCCCCAGAAGTCATACTGGGTAGGTAGCACTTGGTTTTTCTGCAGAGGCAGGCATTCACCTTGAGGGCACTGGGTGCTGCCTGCTGGATTAAGGCGCGTTTTGCCTCCACATCATTCAGTAGCTGTCCTGGGTTTACCCTGGGAGAAGTGCTTTATTTAACATGATCTACAGTGCTATTTTCTGGGACAGCCAACAACTTGGAAGTTGAGGTCATTTGGCATTGCTACCAGCTGGGTGGTATATTGCCATCAGTGTGTCAGGAGCCTGGCTGGAATGGGAATTGTTTTTCCAGTTGTTTGTTTCTTTTTAAAAAGGAGAGGGATTTGGAATCTTAGGGCATAACTAGATCTTTTCTTTAAAAAACATTGTTTTTTAGAGCTTGGCTGGAGCCAGCCCTGTGATGTGTGGAGCATTGGCTGCATCATCTTTGAGTATTACATGGGTTTCACCCTGTTTCAGGTGAGAACTGTATGCTGTATGGCTAGCTCACAACTGATGAAAGAGGATGCTGGCTGTTTCCCAGTACAGCCAGGAGCCTCTGGGACTGATGGGCTTCCTTCCATTACTGCAGTCTTGTAGAGATGACCAAGGTGTTGCCCAGCCATGGGTTCTGAATGGGGGATATGCAGGGCTCTAGGTAGAATGACTGGAAGCTGTTCCATGCCTTCCCTTTATGTTTCCCTCTCTCAGACACATGACAACCGGGAGCACCTGGCTATGATGGAGAGGATCTTGGGGCCAATTCCTTCTCGGATGATCCGAAAGACGAGGTGAGCAAGGCCAGCTGGGCACCACAGGTTTGCCAGCTCTCTCCTGCTTCATGTGTAGTGGTTCTCTCTGAGGGATTGAGCTTTGAAGCTGCCTGCTGAGCTAGTTGTCCATGCTGCTGTAGTGTCCTGAGTAGCATGCGCTGTCAAGTCTGGTGCATTGCTGTTGCTGCAACACATTTTGTGTTCAAGTATAACCTGTTCCCACCTCTTACTCTGACAGGAAACAGAAATATTTCTACCATGGCCGCCTGGACTGGGACGAGAACACCTCCGCTGGCCGCTATGTTAGGGAAAACTGCAAGCCGCTGCGGGTAAGGCAGGGTGGGCAGGAGCATCCAGTTGCTTTATCCTTTTCTCATTGCAGAGTCTTATAGCGCCTGCCCCAGTTGTGAAGATTCTTCCTGTGGGCCAGGTTGGGCCACCAAAAGGGTCAGCCCAGTGTCTTCCCAAAGGAGCCTTGGCTGTCCCAGACATAAACTAGGAAGACTGCAGCAGCCTGAGGTTAATCTGAAGTGGAGGAGGAGGAGGAGGGAACGGAGACCTCGGGAAGTGCCTGGGAAACATGGTGGGGGTGGTGAAAACTCAGCAGTTCCATGCTTGATACAGCAGCCCAGAGTTGGGGTCTAGGATCAGTGGTGGTCTGAACAAACCAGTCTTGCCCCAGCTTAACTGTTCAGCCCAGGGAATGTACTGCAACTGGGGCAGGGTGCAGCATCCCTGGCCCTAATCTCTCCACTCTATCTCCCCAGCGATACCTGACCTCTGAGGCTGAGGACCATCACCGCCTTTTTGACCTCATTGAGAGCATGCTGGAGTATGAGCCATCCAAGCGCATCACCCTGGCCGAAGCCCTCAAGCACCCCTTCTTTGACATGTTGGAGATGGAGCCGAGTACAAAAATGTGGGACTCTAGCAGAGACATCAGCCGGTGACGCCACAGGTGCCATCCTGCCCTCAGATTCTAGCCCCCGTGGAGGCCTGCGTGATTTCTATTCAGACACTTGGTGCTTTTTTTTATACGTGATAACTCCTCCCTGGACACATTTGTAAAGCTGTTAATATGTGAGATACTGTAAATAGCCTATATTCTATATTGGCCTCTGAGCACCATGGACCCAACCTCCTGCTGTTGCTGCTGCCGTTATTGTGAGGCGAGGGGGCCTGTATGTCCATATTGTAAATAGCTTTGTTCAGGTGTTGCTTTGTCTCCTGTTCTCTCCTGCCCTGCTCAGTGTAAATACTCCAGGACTCTCAGCTCTCTGTAGCTTACCTGTTTCCTTGTAAGTTATGAAACTGGTGGGACTGCATGGGAATTATTTTTTGGATCAATGTCATAGCCCATCCCCACACCAGAGTTTTATAAGAATTTTGTATAGTCTTTGTGAAAAATAAATATGAAGTGAATAAACTACCTGGTCTGGGTTGGGACCAGCAGCAGCCGCTTTTGGGGCAGTTCTGCTGGCTGGTTGTGCTCCTGATGTGCAACGGCTGTGCGCTGCACCCTGCAGAGGAAAGGAACGTGCATCCTCTTGTGGGATGAAAGGTACTTTGTGGCCTAGGAAACTTCAGTAATGAAGCCCGCTCTAGCCAACTGCACCACTCCTCCCAAGCTTCGATGCTGGCCTAGTGTCTGAGCTTGCACTGGGTATGAGCTGCTTTTGGCCCTCATGAGGGCTGCAGCTGGAACTAAGCCAGAGTGGGAGCGAAGCAGCAAAACACAGGCAGGCCCCGTCCTCATGGGGCGTGTAGAAAGAGGAGGACAGTAGGTACTTTAAGATACATACTCTTTTTTACTAGAGAAATGTCTCAGTCCCCGAGTGGGTGGAGCACTGGCTGCTGGTGATGGCTGTTGGAAAATGGGTGTTGAGGTGCCCACATTCAGCTGTCAAACATGCCCCAGTGCCTGTCCATGCTTTTTTGGCTCTTGCCAGCTCTGCAGCGAGGCTGGGGCCTTGGCTTGGGCTTTTCCATGGGAATTGCTGAGGAAGTTGCAGACCTGACGGCAGTTCTGTGTAGATGCTTTGCTGGCGGGTCTGGACGAGTTGCTGCGGTAATGTCAGTAATAGAGCAGACACACACACACAGTCTGTTCTATGGGAGCTTATCACTGCTGTGGCACCATCTTTCTCTGGCAGACTGTCATGCAGAGGGGTAAAGGAAAAGTCTGGCTTCACTTGAGTTAGTGGGGGGGGGGGAATCTTGGAAGGGGTGACACTGAGTCATCTTCATGAGCTTGTGATCCCAACTTAAAGAGCATGGGCTGGGAGCTTTCACCTTCCTCCTGTGCTATCACTGTCACCTGGCAGCAGCCAGCCGGGAGGTGTGTGCCAGGGAACGAGAGCGGGGGAAGATCCTGTCCTGCTGTGTGTGTAGCCAGTCCCTGGGTGAGTCTGGATGAGAATTAGCTTGACCAAATAATACTTGCAATCTGTCTCAAACTTAAAAAAAAAAAACCCAAAACAAACACAAAACCACACATTGGTGTGCAAAACCTGAATTCACAGGTTTTACCTTCCCAGCAGATAGCATGGCTCAAAGTGCCAGCTGTCTAGCTTGAAATAGGAGCTTGTAAGTCTGTCTTCAGAGGCTAAAGAATATTTTTAGCAGAGAGGTGGAGTTGCTGCTAAGCACCAAGAGCTGGGATGGGAACTAGATGTAGGGATGGGTAGATGTCCTGTGCTGATGAGGAATCCCTGTTTGGGAGGCGGTGTTGGTATGCTGTCCACATGCAGCTGGTAGCTGATGGGCTCAGGGATCCCTATAAATAACTGCTCCAGGAGACACCGAAGTTAAATTCCCCAAGCTGCTCATCATGCCATGAATTCTTCCCCGACCATTTTACTTCCATGGAGGCTGCTGTACCAGTTCATGTGGGCTCAGCTGCAACCCCACCGCCCTCCCCGAGGGTCGAGCCTGGGAGGGTTCCACGCAAGCTGGAGGTGAAGAGCGCTGCGGCCATCCCGGTAAGAGGCGGGAGCCCAGGCGAGGGGTTTGGACGTGAGGCCTCAGGGGGACCTGCAGGAGGGGCCTGCGGTCGTGGTAGGCCTGGCTGAACGGAGCTATTGTTGGGTAGGGGAGCCGGCCCCGGGCAGGGGACACGGAACCCGACGGGGCATGGGAGACCCGGGGTGCCCGGCCCTGGGAGGGGACACCGGGAACCCGGGGGGACGCGATGGGGCCTGGGCGGTGGAGAGGCCTAGCCCCGCCCG